TTATGGTTGTAGCACGAATTGGTCGACCTGATCGGAGTAGGACCACGCTCTCACAGAATACCAGCGTGGAATAGCTGCTTAATGCTGCTGTGCTTCGTATGATAAGTGTAGAGAACTTGAGACCCTTTTTATTGGAAACGAGGCATTCCATCTTAGTCCTCAGAGTGATAATACATCTGCATTTTGATCCTTAACCGAGATAGATATAGACGGCTATGGGCCACAGCATCCAGTTACCATCAGTCGGAATGTGTGCTCGTTTGTCACCGTTGTTCTATAAAAAAAAGACTAACACCAGGGTCAATTGTAATCGGACGGTAGTACTAGTATCTGTATGTAACAGAAAGTAAGATTGTTCACATGTGAACTGACTAAATACTAAAACGTTTTACTGAGGTAACCGGCCTCATTTTTGATAAGCTCACGGAACAAGTATTTGGCCTGGAAATAATTATTGTCCGAGTCTAGGTGTCCGTTAGGGTTGCCACCTTTTTTTTGTACAAATATAGTATTTTTCTCAAAACGTGCAAAAATTTAAGTCCGCCCTTTGTATCCTTTTTTTCTAAGGGGACGCAATAAAGTTTTTAAAATAAAAAAATAAAAAATAAAATACTACTTTTGAGAAATTCCGGAGAAAAAAGAACACATTTATTTTTAATCTTTATGTCTGAATGTACTCAATACAAACATGAATGTATTTTTCATATATATATATATATATTTGTTATTGCTCTTGGCCATCAATGATCTAACCACCTTTTAAAATAATTATAGGAGTCTGAGCAATTTAGATTCAATATTAATGTAAATTAAAAACTATATTTTAATTAAATTAATACATGCTCTTTTCTTTTCTTCTTTCAATTTTACATTCTTTATGGAAAAAGTTATTTCCGAACAACATACTTGTTCCAGACTTCCAATCACAGTTAATATAAAAAGCGACAGTTGAATTAGGGATAAAAATATAGTATTTTTCGTAATATATTATTTTACTATAATATTTAGTACAATTGACTGAAATATAGTACGATACTATATATTGTAGTACGGGTGGCAACCCTAGTGTCCGTTCATGTGCAATTTATATAATATAGTACAGCACAGTAGGTTTTTATTTACAAAACAAAATTACGTCGTATTGTCGGGAGCAATTTTATTTTCTATAGCTAGTGGTGGCATAATGGAATCCAACACAAATAGCGGACTTTGCTTGCTTCAGGATTAGACTTTTTTAAACTTAAGCTAATTAGTATAACGTGGTAGTCATTAACGCGTATCGCGTGCCCGTTACGTACGTCATTGTGTCAGTAGCATTATCAACAACTACATATACACATACTAAAACAGTATGTTTAGATATTTCTTGTTATAAATTAGGAGCGCATCCGGGTGTTACAGCTATTTTGAAACTTATACATAAATACTTTGAAATTCAGTTAGTTCGTTCAGTATTTTTTACCATCGTTATAGAAATAGCGTGTCGCTCTCTATCGATATATTTAAAAAATTCGCACGCGACTGTACATTCTACCACGACGCTCGACTGTGCATTCTACAAACTCCGACTGTATAATGTGAATCACCTGTTATTCGTAATAATGTTATAATTATTTGATTATATCATGCGCTTAAGAAATAGTGTTTCGTGGTAGTTGTCGGCAATATGGAACTGTGCGAATCGATTTAAAATGCGGAGGTTACGTTGAAACTTACGTCGAATATTGCTGTAATAAACCCTGTCTTTGTAAGCTCTATATTAAAATGAGTGGCGTAATACAGCATTAATATTATTTACGTAGGGTTAAGTTGCATAGAAAAAAAAACAATACAGCAGACGTTCCCTGCTGCCATCAGCTTCATCAGGCGTTGAGGCATTCCATCGTACTCCCTAGGGACTTTAACGCATCTGTTTTTAGCGGTCTTTGTTCCAAGTGTAGGGTACGACAATAGCCACTTACCATCACGTGGACTATCAGTTCTTTTGTCACGAATATACATAAAAATAATCTAAAACTATTATATAGTACAGTTAACAACAATATTAGACACACAAAAAATACATTCAAAAAATTTAGTTAGTGAATTTGTGAATAAATAGAACCTAGCAGTCAAACATAAGATGGAAACAAAAATAAATGTGCAAATATGATAGGAAAATTTCTTATAAAATTAGAAAATGGGATAGAAAGGATCCGAAACGGCTTACTCATAAAAATTGAAATCCATTAAATAAATGCTTAACGTTGCTCAGTTTCTCTTCTTCTCCCCTACCCCCCGCCCTCACTCACACTTTCTCATAGAGAGCTTCTCTCTCTCTCTCTCTCTCTCTCTCTCTCTCTCTTTATACTTAAGTAAGCTATAATAGTTGATTATGGCTTGTAATTGTTGATTATAGCTTACTTAAGTAAGGCCGAAATATATTATCTGCAAATAACTATCTATAATCCTATGCAAAACAAGGGTAGTCACTGACCATGAGCGATGATGAATCTGTCAGGTTCACACTGCCAGCGCGCGCTGACGCCGTGGTGGAGTTATGGCGCACCAAGCTGGCCGAGGGTGTTCTCTCACCGGCACACTTCCAGGACCATTGGCGGGTCACTGTGCCCAGGATATACTCGCCGCAGCCCAACAGGACATGTCTTGGTGAGTTAAAATAACATAAAATAAAGCATTTATATATTACATTTATATAATTTCGCATTTTTATAATATATTTTTAGAATTGTAAAATGAAGTGTACCACAATGTTTTTATTGGTAAAATTACAGCCTTTAATTTAGATACTACTCTCTGGCAAAGACCACGGGGTAAGAGTTTTATAGTATTGTATTTATTTCTATGTTAGTCCTTTGAAGAATGTTATATTAGAAATAGATATATTTTATTTTTGTTTAGACATACATACAAAAGTGACATTTTAGCGATAATTATAAACAATACCCACCTTAGTGTCGTTGAGAAAGTATTCTTTGTTAGATTCTTTTCTTAAAAATATTGATTTTCGTTTTTTTTAATCGACTTCAAAAAAGGCGATAATTTTTATCAACTATAATTCTTTACCGGGTTGTCCGATTTCAATAATAATTTTTTCTCATATAAATTTGGTTGGTAAATGAGATCAACAAAGACTCGAAAAACTCGATGATAGTCTCCGTACTTACTACATAGCACCAAATTGTACTGGAGGTTATTTGTTAAAAATAATAAAAGTGTGAGAGCAGATGTTCAAATTGCCCTCTTACTTACGCAATTAATGTAAATTAATTTAAATAATTTGTAATTAATGTAAATTAAAAGCTTTATACTGCTAGAACGAGTGGGAGATTACAGTACTACCCTCATTTCTATCAATATTATTTATTGATCATCTTAATATATATCAATTACGTGTCACGTTGTTTGTCCGTGATGGACTCCTAAACTACTTAACCGATTTAAATTTTTCACGATTCAAATTTCCACACCGTGTGCAGTTTGGTCCAACTTAAGAGATAGGATAGTTTTTTTTACCCATGAGAGACCCACAATATTTTTTTTATTGCAAATTTAAAGATTTTTAATAGGACATGACAAATGGTCGTCGAAAAGGGCAGAAGAACGTCTGCCTGGCAAGCTAGTATATTTTATTAATTGATGATCTTTATCCGCAGACTGGTCTTTCGACGAGGAGCTGGCTCAAAAGCTACTGATCCAGCCACTGGAACAGTTCGTATGGGGCGGCGCGGACGGGTCGCGAGTGGTGCCTCCACGTCGCTCCACGCTATGTGGCCGCGTCTTTAAACAGGGCGAGCCAGCCTACAGCTGTCGTGAGTGCGGTGAGTGATACTCAATGAAAAAGCGCTTGTAAGCAAAATGGCGATCGTAAGCGGTAAGCGCTGTCAAATCGTAAGTAGCTATTTTCCTCTAGGACACGAAGTTAGTTTTAACCGGGGAACCTAACCTAATTTAAATATATGTTTGTAAAGTATTCAATATTAAAAATTTACCAATCATGCATTTTTAATAACATGTATGTATAATATGTTTATTCATGTCATTATATTACTCGAAACTAATATTGCACAAAACAACTTATAAACTCTACATCAAAACAAACAAATCAAATAGGCAAAATGGCGGATTGTGTCAGCGCTACTAAAGTTAGCAAATGTTTCCTGGCCGAAAACTGTTTAGTTTCGTCATTTTGCTTACAAGCGCTTGCTAGCGCTTTTTTCTGCCAAACGCACCCAATAATGAATGATAATCACACCAAATGGTACCAACCAACGTGGATATATGATAAGAACTATCGTTAAGTCAATCTAGGACCAATTTAAAAATGACCTCTTTTTCTTTCAACTGTTTAACCCAGTGCTTCACTACTTTGATAGTAAGTGTACATGGTAGGGTTATGCTGCAGCTATGTTATGGTTGTTGCACGAATGGGTCGGGGAAGGACCACGCTCTCACAGAACACCAGCATAAAATAGCCGCTTAGTGCTGCTGTGTTTCGTGTGGTGAGTGTAGAGAACCGTTAACCCTTTTTACTGGATACGAGGCATTCCATATTAGACCTCAGGGTGACAACGCATCTCCATATTGATTTTTAATTGAGAATAGATGTAGTTGTCTATGGGCCACAGTATCCACTTACCATCAGGTGGACTGTGTGCTCGTTTGTCACTTTTATTCTATAAAAAAAGTGTTTATGTAGCCGAAGATGGTAAAGCACACAGACTACTAGTTTAACAAAAACCTATTTTACTTTTGCCTTGAAAACACCACGTTGTTATCGAATGGGAAGACATGATGGTACACTATTATATTCCTTTACTGTAAGCATTTCCAACGATGAAGTAAACCGTCTAATTCGAATGCGTGTAATGTCGATAGAGGGTCTCTGGTTGCCCAATGTTAGAAACGATAAGGAGGAATTATTGAAGGTATGTTATTGCATACTGAGATTCTCAATTATACAAATCTATTCTCAGAAACACGACTGATAATTTTCCATATTCACGTCAGAAATGTCAACTGACAAAAGCAAATTGGTGAAGGGGCGCCGGTTTTGTTCCGAACGAAAATTTAGCTCCCTGGACCTCTCGTTGCTCTCTTGCAGCTAAAGATATTCATGAGTATTTACCTACGTTAAAAATGTGTCCAAAGGGTTTCAGTAACCATTACGATCCGGCGGACCGTTGCGCTGTTTTTAAAGATATATAAACACTTGGATTGGAATTATTAACAAAAGCGTTTTTAAATTTTCTTGCCGGTCTATTTCCAACTGGTGGTAGATTTTAACGTTCATGAGAGCTTGAAACAAACCATAACAGAATAAAAAATATTTGGTATTTTATACTAGGTATGGACAACACATGCGTGCTATGCGTCGAGTGCTTCAAGGTGTCGGCGCACCGGCACCACAAGTACAAGATGGGTCAGTCTGGTGGCGGCGGATGCTGCGACTGCGGAGACACCGAGGCTTGGAAACGGGATCCATTCTGCGAGCTACACACTGTGAGTCCATACTGTAGTGCTGTTCGGCGAAAGTTGAGAAATATTATCAAAACGTCTCGCAGTAGCGACTGTCACTTAAGTATCGCAATCAGTGTGACGGGCGTCGCTTATCACCGCAAGCACAGAGTTTTATGGTACGAGGCTCGCAGCTGTTGTCAATCGCAAGGTGGGGCGGGGCGGCCGCGAGCCGACACGGTGGCTTTTTGCCGCAATTGCAATAAGTTGTGGAACTCTGCTTTTTGTCAACTCTTGCTGAACAGATCATTGAGAGTAGTCTCGTCGTAACCTACGTAGTATCAGTAAGTCTTACGATCCTTCGTATATTATGGTTTATTTGTTAATTAGATGGCTGCAACATGACCTGGCTCGACCGGAGAAGGTCCACACTTTCACAAAATACCAGCATAAAATAGCCTAATGATGCATTTCGTACGGTGAATTAAGAGAAACGGAGACCCTTTTTACTGCTTACTAGACATTTTATTTTAGTCCTTAGGGGTGACAACGCATTTGTATTTTGATTCTTAGCCGATGTAGGTGTCAACTTGTTATCTTCGGTGCTTGTTAACTATGGAGGTGGGGCTACGTGTTGCCAGCCCTGGGTAAGATTCAAATCAGAGACAATATTTGAACAAAAACATAAATTGTTGGTGCTCAGACCTGGCTGTGCTTACATCCTCGCTTACGCTCGATTAATAAGCCTCTACTACTGCAAAGGCAGAGTAACAGTAGATTGTTATTATCATAGGTAAATTAAAATGAATCAAAGCCTATATTTTTGTACATTGAACTTAATAAAACATGTCAAGTTTACTTTCAGGCACCCGACGATGAGGAACAAGAATCCCAGTCGAGCATCGGGCCAGATGTGCTGGATCGGATGAAAATCGTCGCCTACGTCTGTCTATCTTACTGCTTCAGACTGTTGACATTAGACCATGCACCAGGACTGCCAAATGATCTTAGGTACGAATGTTATGTTACATGTGATAATGGTACAAGAACTATGTAAAATATTTTTCCGCTTTATTTGAAAATGAGGCTAATTTTTGACTAAAATACTAATGACCATCGACAAGTGGCAGTATAACACAGCGTTATAGGCAACTGCAACATTTATGGTGAGCTAGAGTTTTTTCATTACTACACTATGTATTTTCATTTGTGATAATGAATAAATGTTTATTATTATTATTACATAAGATGCGAAATTTTCTGTGTCATCCTTAAAAAACGAATGATGATAGACTAAACAATAGAATCAGATCAGACCATAAAATGCAACAAAATCAATTAATTCACTACATCCACTGTTGGATATAGGCCTGTATTGCCGCATAATGGTGATATTTGCCATGATTTCTGAGCTTGGCAGATGGAATGTTATTTGGCATTAGAAAGATGCTGCTGCGCTTCTCCTGTTTCAGTTTCTTTCTGTCGCCTCTTAAGGCATGATATCGTCCCATGGGATGATACAGTACAGTGTCTGCCCTTTTTACTGGAAACAACATTCCTCTCCCACGGGTGACAACTCGTTTATAATCGTACATGTAGTGTCCAAACAACCACTTACCACATACTTTGCTGTTTGTCACCCTATCCCATAAAAAAAAAACAGAACAATTATACAATTTTTTTATATGTAACTGCTCCGCGCGACTTCGTCTGCGTGGAATTTATAACGATTGGATTTCTTGTTTTTTAATTTTTTTGCGCGGAATCTAAATTATTTTTTTAAATAAAAGTAGCCTAGGTTACGTTTTGGAGATTAGCCGGAACAAATAGACAGACAGGTCCAAGCTCTACAGTCGTGCACGTAAGCATCTTAATGATTTCTTATATTTACGCGTCCCCCGTGACCATGGGTGCTGGAAAGCGCCCGAAACGTCGGGAATTAAAAATAAAAGTAATTAAAATTAAACGCGATAAAATCCGTAAAAGTAGTTTTAATCAACGTAGCCATCTTATTTATTGTAATGTAAAATACAGGATATATACATCCTGTATTTTATTACAAGAGTAGTTGTTTTTTGTCAGAATTTGTGATCTATCAAAACTAAGGTAGTCAGGGCAATCCAAATTACTAGATATTGTTTTAATACAGTGTATTCTAACTTGTTGCAGATTGAAAGACGCAGAGAGAGACCTGTTACAAATCTTAGACCAGCCGGACTGTTACTGCACTGTGCTGTATAACGATGAAACTCATACTTTTGAGCAGGTATATAATTTCTTATGTTATAAGGTGCTATCTATACTAGAGATGGGCCGAATATTCGTTTTATATTTGGTATTCGGCAGCTTTACCGATTATTCGTATTCGGCCGAATATTCGGCTAAATCACCGAATATTCGTAAAAGTGATGGAGTAACGCCATGTCTTTCATAATTTTACTGTTGAAAGAATATTTATTTATGGGTTAAATCTACTTGTATAACAATATGTTTTTGAGGCACTGTAGAATTATTTCCAATTATAGCAAATAGAAAGCTTGATAAAATTTTGTTTAGAATCAAGCAAAGAAACATTACATTACAGTCGTCAGTTTCTCTAAAATTGGTCCAAATAGTAGATCTCCTGCCACTCATTTTCATCACATACTTATCAATTTTCACTAAGAATACTTTTTTTCTCACAAAAATAGTCAAAACATAAGTATGTGCCGGCAATTTGCTCAGTACTAGATGATGCAACATGTCAGGTGTAGCGGGGGAGCAAGGGGAAGGCTCTGGCGGTAATCCCGTGCGCTTTACGGTAACAAGTTTCGACATAAATTCGTTAGGTACTTCGGTAATCCTGCCGAATAATGTTCGGACGAATATACGATTTGGTAAAAATTTTACCGAACGTTCGGCCGAATATTCGTATTCGGTGAAATCCATATTCGGCCCATCCCTAATCTATACCATATACCAACGATATTTATTGTACGATATTTATCGTGTAATCATCATCATCATCATCGTCCACTGCTTTACATAGGCCTCCTCCAAGAAATGCCACAAAGCACGGTCCTGAGCTACTTGCATCCATCGACTTCTTGCAACATTTGATGATGATGATATTTGTCATCAAAAATATGTTTTTCTTACCCAGGTGATAGCCACTCTCAACCGCGTGCTGAAATCTAACCACCGCGACTCCGTGGAGCTGGTGAGCCTCATAGACCGCGAAGGTCGCGCTCTGGTCAAGTGCAACTCATTCCAAATCTGCGACAAGCTCAAGACAGACATTGAGACGTAAGTTTAACAATCAATTTTGGACGAAATTTCTTACTGTTAGCGTATATGGAATGGGGGCTGGGTAGCCCGCGCCCACCTCAGAATTGTATGGTGTATTAACCCGAAATTCTAAGATGGGCTCTCAAATCTACTGCTGAGGAATATGTAAAAAAAATATTTTGAAGACATGTGAAGTTCGCCAACACCGGCAGCCTGACTATTCCTTCCCTAAACCCTCTCAAAATAAAGCCTGTCCCAGCAGTGGGACGTATATAGGCTGTAACTTTACTTTTTCACTCAATTTAATTGCATACATTGGTATTTGGCTACATCGGCCATCGCTTTTTAGTGTCAAGAAGGCTCATCCTCAAATAAATATTCTTAAAGTACGCCATAGATTTGTAAAAGTAGGTTTATTAGGTTTGGGTTTTAATTATCCCGCGTATCGGTTATGTGTAGGTCATTTTCTAAAGAAAAGGTTAATTTTTATTAAAAAAAAATAGAGTATGAAATATTAAGCATGTAGGATGAGTGGATAATTTAGGTGAGCTCATCATGATCATCAACATTATTATAGCATATCAAAAGTCCACTGCGGAGCGTAGGCCTCCCCGCTACATTGTCACATAGAGGTATTACGTTCTTAACTGCCTTGCCGCACAGTGGTGGCGTCGGAGAATACTAGCCAATGTCATCCCGTGGTTGTCATAAAGGGCGACGGAATGATACAACTGATATACGGATACAACAAAAAAATTATTAAAAAAATTGTGGTTGCCAATTCGGTTGCCAAGCGTGTCTGCCATTTCAAACGGGTAATCTATTCTATAATTATTGTAAATACATAGTAAATTACCATTTCTTAAATACATTTTTGCTGACCATGGCTGTGGTGGTCAATTTTTTTTTCATTATTAGTTTCTATTACAAAATGATATTTATGTTACCCACGCATAATATTACCTATATATTTTTATTGATAAATATTTATGATTTAAAAGAGGCCAAAAAGGGCTATATAGGATAGCCCAAAACGAAATGAATATGATTAAATAGTTTGTTATTGTTTGTTATGACTAAACTTGCAGTTTAACTCTCTCACCTCAACATTTGGTTTTATATTTATTGCTTTGCTGATATGAGGACATCACAGATCTCTGAGAGAGTTATATGCAAGAAATAACCCAATACTTGAAGGATTTCAGTATTTAAAAAATTAAAAAAAATCATACTTGCTTTTACATTATTTTTTTCTTTGTTTGAAATTAAATGCTAGTGCTTATCCTCTGAGCTACCACGTCTTAATAAATCTAAATCATATTTAACAGATAATAATATGTATATTGCAAATGAACTATATATTCAAATGAATAAGTTGATAATATAACATTCCCCTACTGTGCTGGGGCATGACTTGTACACTGTTGATCAGCCACACGGCGATGTTCGAAAGGTTCACGTCGCGGCACGGGCCCGTGCTCAAGGTGCTGGTGATGCACGCACACGTCATCGCCCACCAGACCTTCGCCATGAAGCTCTTGACCTGGTGAGTGCTATTTTTGTTGTATCCAATACTGTGTCAGACATGACGCAAATGTCAGTTCTATTGATATTGATAAGAACTTCAAAACTTCAAGTTATGGATTGTAGAGGTAAGGAGTACAGACTGTATAAAAAAGTGTCCGTAGAAAAGCGCTAAATAAGGGTGTCGCCACTGTAGCTACAGTCCAAATTTTAAAGAACTTTTTATAATTTTTTTATTGGTTTCAAATTTTTTAATTTCAAAAGTACTCAACGTATTTTACGGTGATTTATAATTCCCTTTAGCTACTCTAACGCTGTTGTGGAGAGTTTTCGAACTGTTATTTACTGATTACAGATGGACACATTTTCAACTATTTTCTTATGGGAGATTGTCCCCCTTACCTCTATACTCCATGCTTCAAGTACAATAGAATAGGGGACAGATTAGGCGCGTATAGGCGTAATGTGTGGTGACGTAGAGACGTCAAATTTTTATGAGAGTTAATCCGATAGATGGTGCTAGCTTCAATCCATGGATACCTGCAGTCTACTTAGATTTTTTTTAGAATAGGGATGACAATTGAGCACACAGTCCACCTGATGATTATCTTTCATTATAAGTTAAAATGCAGATGCGTTGTCATCCTTAAGAATTAAGATGGAATGTCTTATATTGTAAAATGTATTATAAAAAGAGCCCACGGTTCTCTCTCTACACTCGTCATACGAAACACATCAGTATCGAGTTGCTATTTTACGCTGGTAATCTATTTAGCTGTAGCATGGCTCTATCACGTTGGGAATACGAGTACATACTTCCTAAAAAGGCTACAAATGTGATTTCACTACTGAGGACTGAGATGGGACGCCTCACAGCTTGTAATTTTATTGGTTTTCTATGCTTTTTAGATCGGAACACAGCAATGCATACACTGTTATTTGGCGGTAGAAATGCTTTAGAGGGTAGTTACAGACTTCTAGACAGAAAAAGTGTATTATCACCTAGATAAATAATGACGAATCCTCCAGACGTAGACAGAGAATACTATAGACACCAGCAAAGCGTGTCGCAAAAAGAGAAAAAAAAATACGTCACCATATTTAGGGTTACAAGTGTGAGCAAAAATTTACCCCACAACTAGTCATAAAATTAGAAATTGGTACGTAAAGAAAGCCTGAAGAGGGATACTGCTATTACCGATTATCATCGATAGGTATAGGCATGCGATGTGGAGGAGAAGACATGCTGTCAAACTCAAATGAATTGCGATGAGGGCATGTGGGTGAGGATGGATGATGATGATGTGGTTCTAAATAACTGCCATTTCTTAAGTTCTGGCTTCGTGAGTAAATAATACAACACGTTTATAAATAATAAAATTTTATTGATTATTGTCCTTTAAACAAAACAAGCTTCGTATGAAAATTTCAAATTTCTTGCTTGGGTTCAAATGCTTTTGTTGCGTGATGGTATACCATGACCAACCAAAGCTACCCCATAGTTCACCAGACCTACACATTTTGTTCCATCCCATTGGACGTGCCTCCTTATAGCCATCTCATCCATACTTACTGCACAATACAGTTCGATTTTTTTTTGTTTTTTGCCACAAATTAATGCATTCTAATGATTTTGAAGGTTTGCATCTACACTTTTGTACCATGTGGTAAGTGTAGATGGATAAGGTAGACAAGTATTAAATTGCTGCCGTACATACTTGTAAGCCTAAGGACTTATAAATTGCAAGCAAAGAGCGAATTTGCGTAAAGATGGTGAATATTTTCTACCACTGGAGGCGGGGTTCAACATTTTTTTCAAGAAGTCTATTGGCAGGGTCAACAGATTCCAATAAATCCCCATCTTCAGCACTTATCAAAGACTTTGTTTTAAGTTAGCTACTTTTTCGATAAACGCCTATATTTTTCTCGAAGACTAAATATTTTCAGTCGCTCGGATGATAGTTTATCCGATTGTTTCCATTTCTTTCGCAACGTTCGAGGAGTTTACTCTGGAGTCTTGTCCTAAAATCCACAAAACCGTTGCGAAACTTTGTTACTACAGACACAATATTTTCTTTGTCAATCTGAAATCAAGTGATTTGACAAATCTGCCACACTTTTGGTTTCATAACATCCCTTGATCAAAAGGCTTGATAGTGAATTAATGTTCCAAGATTATAACGAAGTTAATTTATTTTAATACTGTAGAATACATTGCAAAATACTGTATTAAGTCGAGGGAAAATAATATTATTTTTATTTAAAATTGTTTACCATGAATGCTTAAATTATTTTCAATTGCCATAAGTGTGTCTTCTAGTAAAATGATGGAGGAAGAAAATGGAATTACAGGCTTTTGTTTCCTAAAAAAGTTTCTTTAAAACATTAATTGATACAAAATAGGTGTAGGAAGATGATTTTTACAGAAAATTGAATTAAAAAAAAAACTCTGAACGGAATTCAAGTTTTAATAATTAATATTAAAACTTGAATTCCGTTCAGAGTTTAAAATACCAAGAACTTTCAGAGTCTAAGAGAAACCTGGCTCAGTTTTTTATTGCTGATAAAATGCACAGAATAATGTTCGCAACTAACCCGGTAATTGTACTAAATAGTTTTAAAAACACTAAACATATATAAAAATCTTATAAAACCTGGATCGAAACTTAATATGTGATTAACTGAATATTTGCCAGAATAGGTACAGCATTAGGTATATCAGATTAAGTATCTTCTTTTTTATTAACATTTTATTCTTAAAATGTATGCTGCAAATTCTTGATGACGGTTTTGGTATCCAATCTGTTCGTGTTGTAGTTATAATCCAATTCCGACGTAAATTATCATGTTTAGGAACACTGCAACAAGCCATTAAATCTTTCAGATATTTAATTAATATACACTGCAGAATACGTATTTTTATTTCCTATAATAATTAGTGTGGATTGGATGGTAATAGTTTATACAAAAGTTTGCAACACCAAAGATTTTACGTTAAAATATACAATTGTTATTTTTAAAGATAACTCTACGGCTAGAGTACATTATACACAATATATGAATTTTATAAAATGTTACAGAATAAAGAGTGGTACACTTACGATTGAAACAACAAGCCTGGCATTTTCGTTCCACTATCACTTTTACACCCTAAAACACTATACCACACCATGTTTTTTTTTAATGGTTAGTATACTAAGTCTAAATTGTTCACAACAAAATATAATATGAATAACTTAACATAAAGCACGTAAAACTGTATTTTATTAAAAGGCGATATCTCGCTACACGTTGGCTGTCAAACTTCGTTTAGTAAAAAAGTGTGCTAACCTTGAAAAATGTGGCACGCTCTACGAAAGAAAAAATCTCATCGTTCTATTTCATTTCTTTACACGACATCGGCGTAAGTTGCTCTTTCTCTTGTGTGACTGCGACAAAAGATATCAATTTGTCTATAGCATTTTCTGTCTACGCCTCCAGACGAATTTTTGGTCACGGTCGGTAGTGTCAACGAAGACTAACCGTCTGCACAGTATTACGAACGTGTGCTTGCGCGCACACTCGTACAGATGTACAATCTATCTCCTCACTCTCATTCCTTGGTGGGACGGCAATCGGAGCGGAGAGAGATCAAGGCTCAAGCACACAACGGCTTTACGTAATGTAACTGTAATGGTTAAAACATCACCATATAATCCAGTCCCCCCCCCCCTCCCCCCCCCCCCCCCCCCCTAACCCCTCCCCCCCCCCCCCCCACCCCCTCTACTCTCTCCCCAATTTTTCCTTCACCATCCCTCCACCCCCACCCACCCCCCCCCCCCCACCAACAACCCCCCCCCATCCATTTTTAAATAACCCCCCCAAATCCCCTCTCCCCTCTTCTCTTTCCTTTTTATGCAACCAACAACACCACCACCCCAACACCACCCCCCCCACCTCACCTCTCTTTTATGCTCTTCCTTCCCACCCACCCACCCCAAAAAAAACAACAACATTCATTTTTCCACCCTTTCCCCCCCTCCCCCCCATGGCTTCTTTTTCCCGGCTTCCCCCCCCAGTGATTTTTTAAGATTTATAATACTGGATTGTCTGGTTTGAATGGCGTATTTTTGTATGCAGGCTCCAGAACTTCGTGAGCCAGGAGCAGCGGCTGCGGCTGGTGGTGAGTCGCGTGGCGCTGGGCGAAGAGGGCTGCGCGGCGGCGGGCGGCGCAGGTAGTGGGGCGGTGGGCGGCGCGGGCGGCGTGGCGGGCGGTGTCATGCAGAACGACTGCCGCATGTGGAAGGCGGCGCGCACGGCCTGGCACCGTCTACTCATTGCCACCACGCTCATGGACTACGACACCAAGCGCACCATGGCGATACTCTTCACCAAGAACTATGGTCAGTCGCTTACTGCTCCCTGCCTCGCTCACTTTTTACCGCTGCACCTGTATTATGGCTGCAGCGATAATGGCCCAAGGCCTGGAATGGACTTTTCGTTCACAACTAATTCTATATAAAATTATCTGCAAAATGAAATAAAATATATTTTTATTTGTTGACGTTTCTTAGACTTATTGATAGTGTCTTGATTCTTGGGATTAGTACAAAGATTTTACTAAATCGGTAGGTAGGGTAAAGATAAATAATTTAAGCTACCTTGCTCACATAAACTACCTATAATATACAACTTTCTTATCTTTTACTGTTTATGATAAAGTCGAGAGCATGATTAAATATCACAAGTTGCAATATAGATTTTTTTTTGAGTCTAACAATGGAAATGCACCGGTGGAGTGGAACCTACCTCCCCAAGTCATATACTTAACTGATAACTTTGCAACCCGGACATATTAATGCGTGGCTAATCCATATACTTTAATTTCAAATGCTAGTATATTGATTTACATTTGAAACGCTAATAAAATAAATACTTATCACCGATACATTAAATATGTATAATATTTGGCGTGCTAATAACAGCCGAATAAAACATTATATGCAGTATCAGAGTCAAAAAGTAAACAGTGGACCCAAACCCAAAAGAGAACTATATATTTTAACGCAATCTAGAGTCGATATTTTAATTTGATTTTATAATTTACATGAAAACGTTTTATATATCTTAATTAGATTTAATTTTCATTTGCAGGATCGATTTTGAAGGATTTCATCCGGGACGACCACGATCACTCGTTCTCCATTTCTTCTTTATCCGTACAGCTGTACACAACACCTACTCTCGCACATCATCTAATCGCGAAGCACGACGCGTTGTTCGTCGTTATGAATACATTTGTTAGCGAATGTCTACGGCGGTGTAACAGTAAAGTGAGTTAATTGAAATGGTTGTTTTTTAAATTAATTAATTAATTTCTCATGCGCAGGCACCCAACTACGCGTACCCACCCCTACAAAGAAATAGAGACGAAATCAGACTAATATTAATGCGTCTAAATATTTTTGGGCGACTTATTTTTTAAATAATAGATTTTAATATTTAAAAATATATATTTAAATCATAAATCATTACACCAATTTTTACCGGTTTTGCACACAGTACGCGCGTACTCGTACGCGATTTAGTCAAGAAAAATATCGTGAGGAAACCTGATGTTTGAGAAATAAAAAAAATATTTCGAAGACATGTGGAGTTCGCTAATACGCAGTTGTGCACTCTGACGGACATTTCCTTGCCCGAGAACCTTTGTTTTGCAGTGGGAAGTACGAGTATATGGACTGTAACTTAATACTTAATTTTAATAATTATCATGCCCTTTGGTCTTAATAACACTCCACCTTTTTTCCACAGGGTCGTCTGGAGTTCGATCGCAATCATGTATCAATGGCTTTTAAACGTGCACAATTTATACTGTACGATGTAAAATACTTACTAGGCTCCGTGCCAACAAACTTCGATGATGATTTGCGCAAGGGATTTCTTCATGGACTATCACTGATCATCTCACTCCTTGTGATGATGCAGGGAATGGATTCTGTAGTCCGACAAGTAAGCGACCATATTTTTATTTAAATTGTTCGTATGTCTTGTAAAAAATATAATTCAATTCAATTAGATTAATAACTTAAATTTTATTAAGTGTTTAAGTATTTAAAGGGGAACAAAATACTACCACCTTTTTCTTCATCATCTTTCAGTAAAAGTTACAACTAAACTTTGCAGGTCTTGGTATTTAGTACGTCTGACTAAAACTAGATGTTAACATCTATTTATTAGAAACCGTAACATTTTTTGTTATTTCACATAACCGCCTCTTGTGACACTCATTGGACGAAATGGGGTAATGAAATTTATTGCGCCGCCACGACAAGAGCATAATGTGATGTGTGAGCATGTAACAAGAGCATATTTTGATAAAAATACTTTCTGGGTGAATGTTCGTTATAGTTCAATTTGAGTTGTTGTTGACAGAGGGGTCAGCACATGGAGTACGAGCCCGAGTGGGAGTCGGCATTCAACCTGCACGTGAAGTTGGCGCACAGCATCACGCTAGCGCTAGAGTGGTGCAGCGCAGAGCGTGCCTTGCTCGCTTCCGCGTACCGCATGGCGCTGCGCCGCCACGCCGACACCTGCGCGCACGCACAGCACCAACTGCGCGGTGAGCAATCACACCCATACACCGTGAAACATACCCACATACACATACACTAACCCTTGAACCAACACATTGCGCTGCACCACCACGCTGACACTCCATATTCTTCACTTCATTCATTCATTCTATCTCGGGTAGATGGATGCGTCTGCCGCGTCGTAGGCAACTTGAGCCAGTATCGCAAGAAAGAAATTTTCTTCTATTTTTTATTATTACGTATTCTATATTTCTTATGGTATGGTACAACATTGTGAGAAAAGCTGCAAATATTGTTAAATTTTTTGCTGTGTTGACTCTCAGTAATATGTTATGTAATATACTAGGTCCCTGTATTAGTTAAAATATTTTACTAAACATAAACTGTGTTATATAATGTTTATCAATGAATACATGGTTGATTGTAACCCCTGTAAGTGGATGGTTGCTTTCAGGTGTAATATAGGAAAGTTGTTAATGAAGGAGACGTGTGGTTGGTACTAAAACTTTAATTAGACTGCTCATTATTCTACCTTAACACTAAAGCGTACTAACGTGGGAGCACTACACTATACAGGCTAATATATTTTATTTATTTTATTGTTACATTATGGACATGTTAAATTTACAAGAAGCCAATAACAAGTTCTCACTAATAGAAATACACTAACATTATCTTTCGTCGTTTTAAGGACATAGCACAAATACAAGCAACAAAAATGGAGTCTAATTTAAATGTACAACATGCGTAAAAGTGTAACAAACAATAATAACAAGAAAACACATTTCTGAAATAAGTTTTGTAAATAGTTTTTACAACTTAGTTATAGTATAACTTTTAAAAAAAGGTCTCGCTGAGATTCTTGCTGGTTCTTTCCGGAACAAAACCTTTTTTCGAACCAATGTTGAAAGTAAAAAGTGACTATAATATTTACATGTAATAATACCGTTCATCGGATTTCGGTAAAACTTTGTCAACATATTGCTTGCACTTCCGCGAAGGTTATAGGCATAGTTAGACCCGGTAGATGGTTCTGTTGTAGAAATCAGATATCACCCGTGCGAAGCCGGGGCAGATCGCTAGTATTGAATAAAAAACATTATTTTATATCCTATGGTGTTGTTGTTGCAGAGCTGGGCAACCAGAGCGCGCTGGTGATTCCATACGACGTGTCAAGCGAGCCTGTGTCGATCCACCGGCCGCTGTCGCGGTTCATCGCTGGTTTACATCTGCAGTTACAGCGTCACGGCCTGTCCTACCACAGCCGAGAGTTCGACCGCCACGAGCGACCCAAGCCCACGCCTGAAGAGCTCATCGGTGAGTGCCACCATCACTGTTTTATTCACTAATGATTGTTACACCTGTTAGCTTAAAATAATATAACTTATATATAATTTAATGTCCAGGCCAATCTCAACGGACTCTAGCCATCTGCACAGGATAGGATTATAGTGCTTGAGTGTATTCGCAAGCATAGCGCACTCTCTATTTATTCCCTCACTCTCATTATTCGATGGGACGGTAAACCGACGCGACTGGAGAGAGATCAGGCGCATGACCTTATAGCTTTACGTGCTTTCCGAGGCACGAGCGTGAAAACACTGCCAACTTCATGACTCCTGGTTACTACTAAGAATTTCTTGTCAGAAAAATTTAATAACTGTTCTAAGTGTTACCAAGGCTCTGATTATATTGAAAAAATATTTGCTTTCGTGTCATTATCCAGGAAGATATAAGAAACACGTTTTTATGGCTGAAACGCCGCCTGTATGAGGATATCCTAATAATATTTTGCTTAGTTTCAGCTGACCTCATCTCCTGAAATAAGACGACCAAAAATTATACGTTTTCTCGCAGAGCCTGTGCTGTGCACGATGGCAATGATAGCCCAGGTGCACGCGGGCATGTGGCGACGCAACGGCTACGCGCTGCTCAACCAGCTCTACTTCTACCACAACGTCAAGTGCCGCTCCGAGATGCTAGATCGGGACGTTGTCATGTTGCAGGTAACGACACTATTCCTGTAGTGACCGTGTGGTAGCGGTGTATGAACATTCATTTCCCCATATCGTTTCGTGGGTGTATTAAGAGGCGATAGCGAGAAAAAATACCGTTAAATGGGCAGCAACGCCTTCCTAATAACAAATAAAAAAATTGTGGTTGCCAACCCGCCTGCCAATCGTAGTAGCTATAGCAAATATCCCTCGAATGAGGCAACCTTAGTGGGAGGCCTGTACTTAACCTACAAGGTAGACTGGCAGATTAGCAATCGCTTATAGCATCCGTTTATGGGAAAGATCACTAATTAACTATTTAATTTTTTAATATTTACGTTAAACATATACCAACAACACCACATACATTTCGAGTTTGTGTTCCGAAATAGAACCCAGCATATTGGCGAATGCAAATGACTTCATTAATTGACGCCATACTATACTGGCGTGCCGCCGCCATATATTGTCGGATATCCCGCCATATTAAAACAATTTTTAAACAGCCGAACACTAAATCATCGTCATCAGTATAACTTGTCGTGAAGCGACAATTAAAAACTAAATAACCTAACCTAACTACAACAAAACAACCAAAAATAAAATAAATTATTTAAAAATTTGAAAAGATTTACAGTTTCTTTTATAAAAAAAAGGTATGAAGGTGATGATGGGCTGTAATGATGATAGTGATTTACAATATTATTAAAAAAAATAACAAAAATAAAGATACTGCAACGAAGTATGCACAGGCTATGCCTATGATAGGTGCGCAGCGCCTGCTCTAGGTACACGCAGAATCTGGAGAAAGCACATGCAGCGTCTGGAGAAGGTACACGCAGCGCTTGGAGTAGGCCCACGCAACGCCCGGAGCAGATACACGCAGCACCCGGAGTAGACACGCAGCGTCTGGAGTAGGTACGTGGCGCTTGAAGTAGGCAAACACAACGTCCGGAGTAGACACACACAGCGTCCGGAGTAGACACGCAGCGTCTGGAGTAGGAACACGCAGCGCTTGAGACAAACACGCTCAGCGGCCGAAGATAGCGCGGGCACTAATAGGTGGAGGCGTAGGCGTGGCTAGGCGACGACTTCAGGAGAAGGCTTGCAAGATCCCGAGGCAGTGCGGATAAAGCCTTTAAGAGGTGCTTCTCGTATCAAAGCTGAAGTGAGGACCTCTATCGGCCGATTCTTCGGCTTTTATACTTTTTGACGGATCTGGGATAAGAACGAGAAATTATTTGAAATTATTTAAATTAAAAGCAAATTTTTGTAAATGGCCAAGAAGAAAAGAGTATTTTTTGAAGTAAAAACATCAGGCCGGTAACAATATTTGAATAAAAATTGCCACGACAACCAGATAAACAACGATGTCAAAACATGTCAAATTTTGGTTTTAAGCTCGTAATACAGAAACGGCAAGATTTAAGTGAAAAATGAGATATTATTTATATAGGAAAAAAGGTAGCGCAAGAGCGCGCACGAAACCCGAAATTGTAGAGTTACGGAGAACTAAATAAAAGATCGAAAAAGGTAGACTCCATTGACACCGATTTAAAAAGTGCTGATAACGTGAAAATACGAAGTGAAAATGATTTGTTATTGTGTTCTTATGAATTAAAAATATTACAGGATCCTATGGAAATAAAGGTGATGCAAAATATCCAGTTTTGAGGTGAATGTAGAAAATCAAAAACAGAATGGAAAAATAAAAATAAAATAGTGTAAAATGATATGTAAGTATGTATGTAAGCATAACACTACATTTTCCCCCCGACCCTGGAAAATTTTTGACTCAGCAAAAATTTTGAGATGTACATTCCAAAATAAACCATAAAAACACAGCTTTGCAGTAACAGACATCACCAGGCAATATCAGATATACTATCTCTTACATTCATCATCTGCATTCAGGTAAGGGTGGAGTTCACATTCAATGACTACCACTCTAAAAGTGTGTTTTCGAAAGGACATTCAGGCTTATTTAAGGAGTAGTCATCCGCTCCTGCGTGGAAAAAAAACATTTTAAAGGACATCCAGGCTTATTTAAGGAGTTGTCATCCGCTCCTGAGTGAAGATAAAGTTAAAGAAATTAATCTTAAGCAAGCTTTAGTCGCTATGACTTAAGTAAAGATTAAGAACGGCCAGAGCGGTAGGGCTCAAAGCCAGAGATCAGCAACATCACTAACGAGATGTGTCTGAAATAGATATTTATACATATATACAAACTTATATACAAATATACAAACATATATACAAATGTAGTGTCATGCAAAACAGTATTAGCTGGTTCCTCACATCTAATCTTCACTTCGTATTCGAGTTCGGCCTTGTTAAGGAATTCGTACTTAATAACCCTTTTCATTGTTATAATTAAGTGCAAAGTTAAGTTTAAGAAATAAAATTTTAATTAAAAAATTGTACCTCTTTAAGTTATCTAGAATAAAAATATTAAAGTGATGAATGTAAGTGAAGTGTTATATGTAGGTCTAAATATAATCCAGATAAGTTGAAAAACTAGATGAAGTTTTGTTTTAGAATTTGGAAGATAGTACCTCTTTAAGTTCTCTAGAATAAAAATATTAAGGTGATGAATGTAAGTGTTATATGTAGGTCTAAATATAATCCAGATAAGTTGAAAAACTAGATGAAGTTTTGTTTTAGAATTTGGAAGATAGTACCTCTTTAAGTTCTCTAGAATAAAAATATTAAGGTGATGAATGTAAGTGTTATATGTAGGTCTAAATATAATCCAGATAAGTTGAAAAACTAGATGAAGTTTTGTTTTAGAATTTGGAAGATAGTACCTCTTTAGTTCTCTAGAACAAAAATATTAAAGGTGATGAATGTAAGTGTTATATGTAGGTCTAAATATAATCCAGATAAGTTGAAAAACTAGATGAAGTTTTGTTTTAGAATTTGGAAGATATGATAAGGATGAGTAAATAAAGAGTTAAGAACGAAAGAGAAAGCAATTCAATCAAAAGGAAATGGATAAGGCGTAGCTAAGGTGAAGAAAAGAAGAACTTTTACGTCGGGCGCCAAATTGTCGTGAAGCGACAATTAAAAACTAAATAACCTAACCTAACTACAACAAAACAACCAAAAATAAAATAAATTATTTAAAAATTTGAAAAGATTTACAGTTTCTTTTATAAAAAAAAGGTATGAAGGTGATGATGGGCTGTAATGATGATAGTGATTTACAATATTATTAAAAAAAATAACAAAAATAAAGATACTGCAACGAAGTATGCACAGGCTATGCCTATGATAGGTGCGCAGCGCCTGCTCTAGGTACACGCAGAATCTGGAGAAAGCACATGCAGCGTCTGGAGAAGGTACACGCAGCGCTTGGAGTAGGCCCACGCAACGCCCGGAGCAGATACACGCAGCACCCGGAGTAGACACGCAGCGTCTGGAGTAGGTACACGTGGCGCTTGAAGTAGGCAAACACAACGTCCGGAGTAGACACACACAGCGTCCGGAGTAGACACGCAGCGTCTGGAGTAGGAACACGCAGCGCTTGAGACAAACACGCTCAGCGGCCGAAGATAGCGCGGGCACTAATAGGTGGAGGCGTAGGCGTGGCTAGGCGACGACTTCAGGAGAAGGCTTGCAAGATCCCGAGGCAGTGCGGATAAAGCCTTTAAGAGGTGCTTCTCGTATCAAAGCTGAAGTGAGGACCTCTATCGGCCGATTCTTCGGCTTTTATACTTTTTGACGGATCTGGGATAAGAACGAGAAATTATTTGAAATTATTTAAATTAAAAGCAAATTTTTGTAAATGGCCAAGAAGAAAAGAGTATTTTTGAAGTAAAAACATCAGGCCGGTAACAATATTTGAATAAAAATTGCCACGACAACCAGATAAACAACGATGTCAAAACATGTCAAATTTTGGTTTTAAGCTCGTAATACAGAAACGGCAAGATTTAAGTGAAAAATGAGATATTATTTATATAGGAAAAAAGGTAGCGCAAGAGCGCGCACGAAACCCGAAATTGTAGAGTTACGGAGAACTAAATAAAAGATCGAAAAAGGTAGACTCCATTGACACCGATTTAAAAAGTGCTGATAACGTGAAAATACGAAGTGAAAATGATTTGTTATTGTGTTCTTATGAATTAAAAATATTACAGGATCCTATGGAAATAAAGGTGATGCAAAATATCCAGTTTTGAGGTGAATGTAGAAAATCAAAAACAGAATGGAAAAATAAAAATAAAATAGTGTAAAATGATATGTAAGTATGTATGTAAGCATAACACTACAAACTATCGGATGAATTAGAGTGAATTTCAATAGCAACACGGCTCACTAACATAATTGCTGGTATCTCCATTCTTCACAAATTAATTGAAACGGGATATAATAACTTTTGGAGCACAAAATGACAAAATAACCGCCAACACTTATGTATGATGTTATATACAAGCCAATGTTTTGAAACGAATCACCAGTATGGCGTCGATTTATAACGTGATTTGCATTGGCCAGTATACTGGGTTCTATTTCGAAACACAGACTAAGGGATGTTGTAATCATACAACTTCTTGACACGCATGCGCACTTCTTTGTTTTTTGTTTCTTTAATAGCACGTAAAGTACACGACTAGACATACACATATGCATGTAAAACCATGGTGTCGGTTGCAAATTATTTTAGTTGCATAATATGTTGTTTATTTGTGTGTTATTTATTACTGTTACGAGCTTAGGGTTTGTGACAATAAAAACTGCATCCATTATGGCTTGCCATACCATAGAAAGATACTATAATATATAATTGATTGGCTGTCAACCTTATTTTGTACGAGGATCGGTGTCGCCGTGAACACACATACATGCAATTATGTATGTTCACGGCGCTGTGTTTGACAGACTGAGTAAATTTACACATTTAGACTTTTGATTAAGGTGGAACCTTCGGACTGTTCTCAGCCATTCTCCCGCAAGATGGCGCTGAACGCAACATTTTAAGTTTATTTGGATCTTTGTGTAATTGGAAA